ACTGGTCAGAATGCGCTGATTATACAGTTTAGTGTTTCATGACTGAACAAAATAAGTTCACTGAGAATGATTTACACAGTCCTGATGCTAACAGATCCTCTGGTCAGAGAGACAAGCTGGAAATAGAGTTGCTTGGAAATTTTCCATTTGAATGGTTATTTTTAATGGGAAATTCAGCTTTCTGCAGAAAAAATGAGAATCGTTCACACTGGGAAAATCAAACAGTAATGAGTAGTTTCAATTGCATTGACCTAAACGGAGCTGACCTAGAATGTTTCATTCCAGTTCAGTTCTTCAGAAGATGACATTGGCTTCCTAGCAGTGAGCTCATTGCTTAATGGTAGGTGTAGTCTGAGGTCCTAGTCCCTTCCATAATCTGGGTTTCCCAGAGAACCACAGCAGTTTCGGTATCTCTATCAACATGTGCGTTTCCAAGGAGTTTAATAAACCAAAATAAACACTTTATTTTGTGTAACAATAAATAATTTAATCTCAGTTTAAAAACAAAAAAAAATCTGGGACAAAACCAGAAGTTGAAACATTATCAACTTCTATGGGGTAAAAACTCTGAAATTTGTTCCTTGTGGCAAAAGAGCCACCATGATGTTGCTTCTCATTTCCTCATTTAGGTTGGTGTAATTCAGACTCTGCTAAAAAAATCATAGCTCTGCAGCCCTTGTACAGTTCTCTACAGATTTTAGCATGCACCACAACTTTTAATAGTATTATTAAAACTCTTTTAGCAACACCGAGACTTATAGCTGGCATGATTAAGGTGGCTAGCCAGCTATGTAGTCATTGCATCCCTGTGAATCATTGCCTAATGCAAAGGACTAGGTTGTTGTTTTTTTTTTCTCAGATGAGTTGTTAGTCAGGAAAAAACCTTTATTCTCTCCTGTAGTTCTGGCACACACAGAGGAGTAAGTGACAATGCTGAAGTTATCACTTGGCCTGGAGCTAAGCATAAGCAAACTGGGCAATTATTTAGTGCAGGAAAACGTGGGACATCAAAACAGCCGTGGCATCACTGCCCGTGTCAGAGCCCAGAGAGTCAAGCTGGCTGCTGCCTTTGAAAGGCCAGAGGGTGCACAGTCCAGCTAGCCCTGGGGTTGAAGAGCAGCAGTGTCCTTGGGGCAGTGGGAAGTTTGGCTCCCCAGGGACCAGTCCTGAGAGCTCTGTCCCACTTTTGCTCCTTCTTCCTCCTCTCCTTTTTCTGTGGCAAGAGGCCAACGCCTGGGCTTGTCCCAACACCACATCCTACTGATGGCAAAAGGCAGTTTTGCCTCCACTGATAAGAAACCTTGAACAAAGCTGGCAAAAAGGTCTTTGCTGTTGCAAAGGAGCTGTGAAGCACAATATCCTTAAAATGGAAGTGCACACATAAAGACTCCTTTGCACAACACCCTCTATAGTGTCAGAGCACTTAGCTCATTTTGCTGACTTGAAGTGGGATGCTATCCAGGCTTTCTTGTTGCAAAGAGCTTACAGCTTTTTGGCTGAGCTTGTCCATGGGTGACTATTCAGTTGCCCTTGCACAGTCTAAGTAACACTTAATTCCTTTCAGTCATAAATTATATGCTTCTACTTAACAATAGGAGATACCAGCCTCAAACTTTCCTCCTTAAAACCAAATTTAGCAAAGAGACATGCAAATGGGACCCAAAAAAGAGCTGGTTGAAGCCTCTAAAATAAATCCTTCTCATATCTGAGAATGAAGAGAGATCTGAAGAAGAAAGTGTTATCCTTCTCCAGCTATGATAATCATGGCAATGAATTTCCTAAATTAAGTTAGTTCATAAAGTCTTTCATATAGTATTGGATTCTTCAATAAAATAACTGCTTTAAATGCCAGAGCCTGTGCTTTATATATAACTCCTGTACTGAAGAGATGTCCTTGCCTCTTCTTGTGGTCCATGGAAAATATGCAGATCTTCTGCTGGTACCTCTGCCCAGAGGTGCCTTTCGTACCAGAGAATGCTATGTGTCAGGTCAGTGGATGGGGCTGCAGGTCAGTGAATTCACACCAGTGGATGGGTGGAATAGCTTTAACCTTCCCTCCTCCCTGGCTGGCCCCAGTCCACACCTGACTGTGGTGGGCAGAACAAGACTGTGATCACAGAGGCTTTGCACTCCTACATTTTGGGCCACTTCCAGAGCTACCACAAATAGGCACTTTTGCCACAGTTCATTCAAGTGAATTTGCTTATATTTCTGTCACTGAGCAACAGGTATGATCAACGTTGCAGTAATCAGGACTGCTCAGTGGAATATTTATAATAGTCCTTTAAAAATAGCTCATTATTAGGTACAGAACATTTTAGACACAAAGTCAAAGGACTGCGTTTAGTAGTCAGAAAGCAAATTGAGAGCAGAAGTCTAAAAAATGATCGTGCTGACATGATGTGAATGCATTTGGCTGCACCCTAGGCTTCGGGTGCTTATCATGAGTGGAGTGCTGGTGCCTGGATGTGAGTCATCCAGCAAATATTGCAAATAACACGTTCAGCATTGCCAGATTATAGGTCTAAGCAGAACCATCCTTGGCATACGTACCCACTGAAACGATTAAGAGAGGACCACTATAAACCTGAGTATTGAGTTGCAGAAACAGCCCTCTGGTGTGCACCTCACTCCTGTACTATTAAATATATTCCAAGCTTCTTTAATTGTTCCTGCAGGGAGCTCAAAATTGTTTGTATACAGAAAAAGAATTCCTAGGTTTGTTCACGACTGTGTTTGAAGCAGCATGTTATTATTTCTGAGAGAATGAAATAATCAGTGACACAAAATTATAGTTTCCCTGCCTAGAACAGCATCCCCTTCAAATAGGATGCCAAGAACAATGCAGCCTCGGAGGGTATTTATAATAGGGAAGGAAACACCACGAGTATGCTAGACTGAAATCCATGCTCTTTATGTCATTTCTATGTTCTGTCACAGGCTTCCTGAAAGCTGCTGCATAAATCACTTTGGACAGTAATTTTCTCGTTGTTCAGGTGCCCAGTTCTAACTGAAAATGAATTCAGCACCTAAATACTTTTCCATTTCTACTCATAGTCCATTTGCAGCTGTGTCACTCCTGTCAGTAGGACTAACAGCAATGTTCTGATGACAGCAATGCTGAAAGCCTCCAAGCCAGTCCCTTACTATATTGCTACCACACTGCTGAGGATACTGCAGAAGAACAAGGGCCAGAATGGATTTTAATAGGAAATTTGAAAAGACAGCATGAATTTGACTGGCTAACAATGTGAAAGCCTGTTTTAAACACAGTTATCAAACAGTACATTAAGAAATGCAGAAATGTCTTTTACAAAGAGAAGCCATTAGGGCAGAAGATGTGAAGGGTGAGAATATGCAAAGAGTAGGCACCGTAACAGTAAACTCCTGTCATTTCACATCATTATATTCTGTCACTGCTTTTTGACTCAGGCAATTTTCCAGCTTTCAGGGTTTCAGTTTGCATTGAAGGAGTGAACACCTGGACTGTTCCAAAAATGAGCACTGAACTGCAGAAGTGGTTGGTCAGACATGTCTGGTCATTGATGCTGTAGTGATCTGTGGTGAACAGTCCCAAGGAATCACAGACACTTTTTCCCATCCCATAGTTTGTTGACCTAAGAATTGAGTTTCTCAGTGTCAGCACTAATTCTTACAGACTATGAATTTCATTATTCCTGCCAAGGTCATTGGAAAAATCATATGCAAGACTTATTTGCAGCCACCCAATTTGGCCTGTTCAAATGCAGATAAGGTCACCTTTAGTTAATAAAAGTTGTGGGAAAATCTCATTTACATCATCAATTAGAAGTGTGTAGAAGTTTTTCTAGCTCTGAGTATGCAAGTTTGTGACAACACAGGATCCTGCAATTTCTGTCTGTTTGTCTCCCTCATGAAATAAAAGCCAGATATATGGAAGTTGGCGTTGGTGAAAGTGACTTTAAGAAAATACTGTGTCATCATTTTATTAAAAGGTCAATAAAAAAATCCCATTAAAAAGATAAGTGAAAAAATCCTAAGCGCAATCAGACGTTAAATATTCACCCCTCAGCAAGATTCAAAAAGGACATTCATGCTTTTAAGCTTCTTTAATAATCAGTTTCTTCTCCTTCTTGGAAGAAAGTCAATATGCTAACTTTCAGAACTGAGCTCTAGGTCAAATGTTTTTTCTTTTGACTATTAAAGCCTCAGAGAGAAAATATTGCTTAAGAGTTGATCGGGATGAAATCTGTTTGAAGTGAACAGTTTTGAATTATATAGAATACTTGCATACATTTATGTATTTACATAATGTTTGCATGGGAATGTGGCAATACAGGTATACTTTTCACATCACTGATTTTGCTGATGTTAGTACTGATGAAATGGTTTTGTATGGCCAGAAAGTCTTAGAAATTATATGTGCTGATGAGCTATGTCTGGTTTTATCCTCCTACTGTACTGTATCTCCCATGGAGCACTATTGCACAGTGAGGATTGCAAATAGGAGAAAGTTATTGGGTTTTCCCTCCTTTAGCATGGAGGGCTGAGCTTTCTGAGCCACACTGCCCAGCATGACAGCCACAGAAGAGGAGTACAGACAGAAAGATGGAGAAAAAACAGCAATTTCTAGAGTTTAGATGGATTTCTGCCAGCATTGGGAGCAAATGTGTAAAGCCTGAGGAGCAGTGACTGTACCATGATGGCTGAAGGCTGGGTGAGGAACTTCAGAGAGGGTTGTCAGTGAATAGAAAGGTGCTGGTGGGAACATGATCGGGAAGGGAGGCTGCACCTGCAGCCAGCTTCGAAAGGCTGGAGCACAGCTACTGCCTTCGGCTTCGGACAAGCCTCCCTAAGGCAGCAGAGCAAAGCCAGCAAGGGCCAGGCACTCACATCTCCTGCTACAGCCCGGGCGGAGAGATTTCATACTCCAGTCAGGCTAATCTTTGAGACCTACTATTTACCAATCCAACAAAAAACATTACTAAGCTGACTAACCTTCTACACTTTTATCTTTCCAGCAATCTTGACACGGAAGAGCTCTGCGGTAAGTTCCTTTTTGGGCAAGAACATAATCTATGCCTGCAGCAGCCCTGTGCAACTGAACATGCCATGTGATACGGGTTCTTTTCTGTTTAATCTTTGTAGCTCAAACAGAAAATAATTTCCATTGAAAGAACTCCTGGGAACTTTTCAGACCCTGTCATCCACTACATGCAGAAATTCCTTTGAAAAAATTTTTCCTAATCAGTACTTCACATTCTCTGAGCTTCAAGATCTGTTCTGATGTAAAGATAGATGGATAACATTTATCTTATTTCCCTTTCATGCGAGATATTTTTTCTAGTTAGTTTATCACTTTCAGAGGCGTGAGTGCTTTGGCAATTTTAAAAGAGATTGTCGTATTAGTACCCCACCAGAGGAAAGTTCATTACTTTCCTGCAACTTAAGCCAGTGAGAACAGCAGTTTGAAAAGTTCTATCATCTTTCATCACAAAAAAACCTCCTGCAAGACCTAGAATTTGGCCCAGTTCCCCATTTCTGTACCCCATTCTGGGCTGTGAGTCATTTCCCCACAACCCTGTTTGTTCTCCAGCTGATCTTACAGCACCTGATTTAGAAGTGCTGCTTGCAGCACAAAACAATTCACAGAAAATTTCTGCAAGTCCTCCCACAAAATGTCAAAAAAACAGTTATACTTGTCAAAACCAGCCTATTTCTGAGGGAAAGATAGTAGCCTGATAAATTTTCCAATGGCCAACTACATTAAAGACCTATAAAAGCTGAAAATGCTGGCACATTGAACACCAGCTCATTTATTCACCCACAGGGTATCTCTACCCATGGCCAAGAACCCACTGAAAGGTACCTCAGCCTGTGGCTTATAAATATATGGCAGAGACTCAGCTGAAGCAAATTGGCCTGTGATGACTTCTGCTGGTTGAGAATTTGGCCCAAATTATATAAAACTGGCCAAGGAAGACTGGTGGTTTTGCTCCACAAGGGTTTTACTGCTGTTGGTATTGCACTGGAGGTGTACAGGTTTGCTCAGCACCTGACCCCACCAGCCACCTCAGGCTGGCCGGAGGGCTGAGGGGGTGTCAGCCTGGCACCGGCTCTGCTTACTGCCTGTTTTGATTAAATACAGGCTGCTTCAGCTGCCTTTTAAATCCTTCATAGCCTGCCACTAGGGTGTTTCTCATCTGAGAATCTAGTACTGAGTTTACTCAACACATGTTTAAGCTAGTGATTATACAGCTCTTCCCGAGTTATCTCAGTTCTCCTCAGAAATGAAGCTTCACTTCCAGGCTACTAATTCACAATACATTATCGTTCTGAATCATTTCATTCAACTTCTCAGCAATACCAGGTTATGTCACAGTGTTCCTGAAACCTTATGCTTTCATGACTCCCCTGAGATGCTCACACTGACCTTTTAAAAGCCTCAAAGTATTGCTATTTATTATTTCAAAAAGGTCTTATCTAATCTTCTTCTTCCTGTCTGCCATTTAGATGTTGTTTTTCATGCTCTTCCAGGTGATCTGATGTCTAAATGCCTTGTCTAACACAGTCTCTAGCTTTAACATAATTTTCTTTCTTTCTTTTTCACACTTGTTCCTTCTTGTGCCTTCCTCTGTTGTATTTTGTGGCATTGACCAAATGGGAACTCAGGTCATGATTTCTCAGTGTTGCCTCTTCCTCTCGCAGTAATCCCTCTGATTGAATTATGCCCCCTGATTTTACATCAGCTCTTTCTGTTAAAATGCCATTTGCTTTGAGAAGCTACGCAAGGACATCCTGGAACTTATGCTATTTCCATGATTTTTGTTAAAAGTATTTTGCATGCATTTTGCATATTTGTTGAAAATATAATCACAGTACCTGGGACTAGAAGCTTATCTGGCCAACTCATGGTTTCTTCCCTTCTCAGACAGAAACAGTGGTCTCAGCTGACCCTGACTCACAACAGCCCCCACTTGATCTTATCCCCTCTAAGGGCTTTATCAGTGTTACTCATTTTTGTATTAATGTAATCCGATTTACTACATACACAAGAAAACTTCACTTCCTGCTAGTAACTGTAAAGTAGACTATTAAGCTAAAAATCCAGTTTAGAAAGAAAATGTAGATACTTTCAAAGTAGGTCTCTTTCAGCTCTCAAACTGATATTTTAAATTTTTGTCAGTTTGGCAACTCATTGAAAGAAAATGTTTTGAACACTGATTTTGATATTTTAAGTACTCCAGGAATGATTTTGAGGGAAATAATAAAAAAAATCAAAAATAAAATCTTCCCTTTCTTTGTAACTCTTGTTCTTTTTATATATTTAGATCGTTAATAATACCATAACTGAACTCAGACTTGATAAATTTGGTATTTAATGAAATATTGGGTTTTTAGGTCACTAATAGGTGATGCGGGTTTTCTTCTTCTTTTAGAATATTTTTCCCAGCACTTAGGAGAGTATGAAAATGTTCTATCTGTCTTGGAAGACTTAAACATAACCATACTGAAGGCAATGGACAAAACAAAGAAAGTAAGTAAAAACTGTGAAATCTTCTTTACCTTGTATATATTGTTTATTTGAACATGTATCCAGTATTTTTCTTATCTAGATAAAGTTACGAATTCCTATTTAAGTTCTTCCACATTTACATGTTTGTAGCAAAAGTCCAGTAGGAAAAGGCTTGTCAAAATGGTTGAGTATCAAAGCTGTAAAGCTCTGTCTGCAGAGTGTTACAGTTTGGATATAACTAAAATTGTCTTTGTGAATGATCTGAAGAATGTTCTTCATATTGTCATACTAAGAGAGGGTTCCCTGTCCCATGCCAAAGGTGGGTAAGTATTGTCAGCATATCAACATTTGAAAGTAGTCAGAATTTGAAAAAAAAATCCAAATTTTTGAAGTAGAAAGCATGTTAATAAAAGATGCTAATGATTTAAACTATATTAATGACTACCATTAAATGAGGTAGGCAAGAGTCATCTGGAGACATACTGGGCAGTCATATTCATGTTATTGTTAAATGTAGATTCCAGGGCAGTTTAAAAAGATTAAAAAGGGCTGAAATATCTCTCCCCCTGTTCCCTGAAGCTGAACCCCAGTACTTTTATGATTATAAAACTATCATTACGGTCATACCCGCTCGTATGGTCATACCTGCTCATTCATACTGCATCTCAGCTCCATGTCTGACCAAAAGTGCATCAAGGCATTGGGTGATATGCTCCTTTTCCCTTGCTGAACAGTTAAATATTCTGTGCAAGGTAGAACAGCTTCAAAAGGTGAGGGAAAGCACAACCCAGGGAAAGAAGTGAACCTACATCCTCCAAACCCAACCCCAGACCCACACCACAAAGCTATTCACTGGAAGGCAAGCTGTCAACAACAGAAATTTCAGCCAAAACTATTCAGGGAGATCCCGTGGGAGGAAAAACTGATTTTTTCAGTCAATCAATGGAGAGATCAATGGGGAGAAAGCTGTGTGTCTCTAGCAAAGCTGTTATCTTTGGCATTCAGGTGTTTGCAAGAGTGCAGTGCTCATACATTTTACATGAACTGCCAAAATAAAAACCTGTAAGTGTAGTTTATTTATTTAGAGCTTGAGCCAGTAAGCTGAACGTCTCTCCGTTCATGCTGTACGTCTTCCACTCCTAATGAAGTGAATGTGCACTGACTCACTGCCTCATTGGGCTGGATGCTGAAAAGCAACAGATTAATTTATGCTAGCCACGCATAATTTTTTTTAAAAATTAGCCATGTATATAAACTACTGCTAAAGGGCAGGACATTCCATCTGATAACTACTGGAAGTAAATAGAACATGGCATTTAAGAATTACTTCAGAAGTTAATTACAGAGGAGGAGTCCCAGTAGACTAATCAGAGTTGTAAGAAGTAAGCATTGGCCTGACTAGAAAATGGATAAGAAATCTGGAATATTAATAAGTTTCATTTGTCTGCTTGAAGAATCCATAAAAAAAAAAAAAAAAGCCAAAAAAAACCACCAACACCACAATTTCTTTTAATTTTATTTTCCTGACTGAAGATTCAAGATCAATGGGTTTTCTCTCCTTCAGGAATATCCCAACTGACTATTCATTAAAGGTGGCAGAATGAGAGCAAGGCTAACACTCAAAAAAATACTTTTAATTCCAGTTAGTAGACACAATGTGTGAACACAGTCGTGTGAACACAGTCAAACAAAAAACGTGTCCTCAGATATTCTAAAATAGAGCTTTCTACCAAGGATATGCCCAGCAGCTACAGCTTTGTATGGAAATTAAATTCTCAATTCAAACTTGGGATTATTCACAACAGGAACTCAGTTCTCAGGAAACAGATAGGTTATGTGACCTGACTACCTGATAAATCATTGGAGTGCAAATAATAAAATTGGCATCTTAAATAGTCCAAGCTTTTATTGAAGTCCAAATTCTGGAATATATCCACCTAAAATCAGAGCTGGAGGTGGAGCAAAAGCTAGTTAGCATATTGAGATAGCATGGATAAGTGATGTTCATCGACAGTGACACACACTAGATGGGATGCAGCTCCTAGCTCAAGTTGACTCTGCAGGTCAAACAAACAGGTACGCAGAAACGGGAGGTCTGGTAATGAACGGCCATTGGCGTGTGTGCAGAGCAAGGCTTGGGTTTTCCCTCCTAGTGCAAAATAAAACTTTGTCATTGCTCTGCTGTTGCAGCCACCTAGTCCCTTAAATAGTCACTGAGTAACAGGAGCATTTGTTACAAACTTCTAAGCCATCATCTAGTTGGAAAGTTCATATATAGAAAAAAGCCAAGAAATTAAGACCCACACTTTGAGAGCTACAAAGGCATGGCGTATCTACAGCGGCTGAGTCGGTTTCCAATGACCAGAACCAAATTTCCAAGGACCAAATTCTCCTATTAAAAACCAAAAGTAAAAATTTCTCAGATTGAAACTGAACTCCACCCTGCAGAGCACGGGGCTGACTACGGACCCCGTCCTCAGGGTTGCTGTGAGCTTCCCATCCCCTCTGGCTTTTTGTGGATTGGAGAAAGCTCAGCACCTCTAACTATCAGTCTCTGCTAAACTTTCCCTGAGTACCCGCCACTTCAGGTAGGCAGCTCATTCAGTCTTAAATATTTTTTGGGAAAAAGGAGCAACTTGGTACTTACTTCATTTTATTTATCCTGTTTAGAGTCATAAACAATCACCACTGAGTCCTTCCTATAGAAAATCCCTGCTTTCTTACCAATTCATGTTGCCCGAACTCAGTAGGTACTTTGCATGAGAGGCAGCTGTGGAATTGGAGCCCTAGAAAAAAATGTTCAGCTTCAGTTTCCAAGGAAACCCCGGAGAAGGAAGATGTGTCAGTCTTCAACAAAAAGCTGAACAGTGGATCAGAATGTCTGAAAAATCTAAGTACCTAATCTATAAACCCTCCTTATTCCAGATATAAACAGAACTAGAATTTTTTTAAAAAAAAAAACCTTAAATGTAGTTTAATGTACTTTACTTTTTGGTGTACATTAATCTAAGTTTGATAACACCAAAGTGTATGGCATTGAATCATATCTGTAAATCTGGTACAAAAGCGTGCAGCAACTAGCTTTTGCACATGAAATAGAGTTGACTCCTCATGTTGTCTTGTTTCAGTTTTGAAAACCACATGCATTAATGGACAAATACCTTGGGCTCTCTTTACAAATATTCCCAATGTGTTCAGCCTTTAGTCAGAAAGATCTCTCACCCAGAGCAACTGGACTTTGTCCTGGCTACAGACTCCTGGATTTAAATCAAGATCAACCAAATTGTCCCCATCACTCCAAGTTATTTCCATGTGTAGATATTTTGAACCCAACAGATTAGCAGATAACTGACTCCTGCAAGTTAATTGCAGCATAATTTCTGTGTACTTTATTACCCTCTGTGGTTTGAAAGGGTCATCAGCACAGCTTTCCTGAACTGAGCTTTTCTGCAGTCTTCCAGTCCTGTGCTATCTGAGGGTGAAAATATCGAGTCATCTATAGGAGAAAACATTCCAGTGTGTTAGCAGGTTCAAGAAACTTTGAAACCAGACTTCCTTTCACCATTCTGGGGCCAGATTCCTCCAGCCTATCCAAACTAAACAGCACCTGAGAAGTCAGGAAGCCCTCGGTGGTGTGGGAGTGTTTCATGCTCTGTTGCTTGAAGGGAAGGTGCTAAGCTAAAAATGCAGAGAAATAGATATAGGAAGGACCATCTTTCAGCAGGGAAAAGACTGAGTTGCATTTGCAAGCAACGTACTTTTAATAACAAAAGGCGTCTTACCAAAGGATGCTGGGGAAGCTACAGCCCTTCTGCTTCGGTACTGGTCTCTTGTGTTTTATCCTTACACAAGGAAGGGAAACACATATCTGAGGATTTTTATGGACTTATGGCATTTGATGTTTGATCGTTTCTCTCCTTAGGATGGAGTTGCTTTTGCAGGAGTGGTGAGGACACGTTATTCATTGGTGTCAGTTGTTTTTATTGTACCTGCCAGGTTGATATTTTCCTGATCAAAGTACAAGCTGGGGTAGTTCTGTTTATCTTGTTTCTTCTTCATCTTATGTACAGGAAGCATTAAAAATTAAAGACTCGGCAAAACTTTACAAATGCATTGGAAGGCTTGTTTCTTTAAGCCTTTTTTCTCTGACATCTTTTATAGCAAAAGACAGAAGCATATTTAAATAAAATATTTAATCTTAACTTTTTTATTACCCAAGTAAACATAACTTTTTCAGCAAGCTGCATTTTTATTACATTCTGTAGCTTGCAGTCACATATAAATACAATGAAGAGAAACTTCACAACCCTCAGCACAGAAAATAAAATCTGTTACTGAGTAATGATGTAGAGAGATAAAAATAGACCAGTTTTTTTAAGGTGATTGAGATCTTGGTTCCATCGACTTGTGAATACTGAAAATCAGAAACTTACAGACTAAAGAACATGTCTTCCTCAAGTTATCAAGCCATAAAATTGTTGCTATGTGTCAGCTATTCAGTGAGAACAAGTTTTCCTCTATCATTTTTACTTCTGGTACTGCTACAGTTTATTGCAAATGCAACCTGCTGGTGGTGGTGAACTATTCTGTACTCAGTAAACTAGCAAAAGCTCATTTAATCACCAAAAACGTAATTTTCATATGAAATGAAGTTGGCAATATAGAAGCATTCATGGGTTTAAACAGGCATCTAGTGGCATTTTAGAAAACCTGGTGTATTCAAGGATGTCCAAGATGTCTGCACAGGCCTGACAAATAGCACACAGGACCTCCAGGAGACCCAGGGGCAGGAGGAGACCCCCTCCTGGGGCAGCAGCTGGAAACCAGGTGGGTCTCTGTAGGGCACCAGCCTCCAGTTTAGGTATTTGAATAGCTCTGAGGTCTCTGAAGAGTTTTTCCCAAGGGGAACTGTCCCCCAGAGGAAGAGCTGGTGATGGCTTACCCGGATCCAACAGTGCCTTTTATCAAAGTCGTAACACCCATTTGAAGTTCATTTTATTTCACCAGCTGAAGAGCACTCT